AAAAAAAAAAATGTATGTTTGCTTTTGTAGGATAAAAATAATTAATATACGCAGGGAACTAATGATTTGGGAAGATTTGACGAGACCTCAGGAGCCACTTTTTGATATGAGCATGCAAAGAAAAAGAAACAAATGATAACAAACAAGGTTAGAAAAAAGAAAATGATAATTGCACTTCTAATTATTATCATATTTTTTAGAAATAAAAAAAAAAAAAAATAACAGTACAAATGTTAGAAAAAAAGACATGAAAATTATTTATTAGAATTAAACAAAAAAATTCCATCAAAAGTGTTAGAAAAAAAAAATACAATTGCACTTCTAATTATAATCATATTTATTATATAATATTGTATTTGTTATAGTTGATTGTTTATCCGACGTCAGTTGTCAAGAATAACAACGGATGATGAATTTATTAGAAGTAAAAAAGAAAAATTCAGTCAAAAGTAGTCAAAAGTTTTAGAAAAAAGAAAATGACAATTGCATTTCTAGTTATAATCAAATTTATTATATAATATTGTATTTGTTATAGTTTGCTGTTTATCCAACAAAACTGATGATGAAAGAACAAAGAACAGCAGCACATACAATTGTAGTATAGTGAATTATATCGCAGTTGGCCGCTGTTATGGAAAACCTATATATTCAACTATTATTCATTAACAAAATCATTATATTGTTTTTTTTGGTGCAAAAATCATTATATTGTTTAAGTAATAGAATCATATATATTCAACTATTCCAAAATAAAATTATTTAAATATTAGAATCATATATATTAAATTATTCCAAAATAATTTATTTTTTTTATTTGATTGTTTGATTATAAAAAATCTCAATTCATAAAATTGCATTAATATATTTATAGAACTTGTTTAAGTGTAGAATTTTAATTGGAAGTGTAGACAAATTACATCGATGATCTAGATAAAATCATATGGAATTATACGAATCATACCTAGAATTGTGTAGATTTCATTGTTAAAAAGTGATTGTAAGTTTTTCTTTTTTCTTTTTCTTTTTATTTTGGATAAAGCTAGGGGTGTTCACTGTCTGAATTAGTCCGATTTAGCCCAAACTATGACCAAACCGGATCTAACGGTTAATTTTTTTTCTTATCCATAACCGGATCGGTTTTATTTTTTAACCGGCCACAATCCGGACTAATTGGACGGTCCGGTTTGGCGGTTAACCGGTTAAATCCAAAATCCTTGTTTTGGGTCTTCAATTTTTATTTTTTTTTTCATTTTGGGATTAATTTTTATTTTTCAATTTTGGGCCTAAGAGATTATTTGGACCTAAAAAATAAGAAAAATAACAATAATGAATTAAAAAATACACAGTTCGTTCCATAAACATAAAAATATTCAAAAAATTAGGAAGAGAAGGTCCAAAAATCTGAAAATAAAAAAACAAAGGTGAGAAAAAGTGAAAGTTATAATGTCTTACAAAAATAAGTCAATAAAAGGCCAAAAAGTAAAAATGAATGTATTGTATTTGTCGGCTATACTGAATGACTGAATGTATAATATATTTGTTATAATTTTTAATATTTACTGGTCCGGTCCGGTTAAGTCGGCGGTTTGCCGCAGGTAATCCGTTAACCGGACCTGTTATTCCAGATTTTTTAAGGCTTTTTTAACCGACCATTTAACCGATCCGCGGTCCAGGTTGACGGTTTTTTTCAGTTAAAACCGGACCGTGAACACCCCTAGATAAAAGAATTTATTGTGAGTAATTTTTCATTATGCCATAAGATTAAAGTTGTAACAACAATTAAATTTTTCCAGTAAAAAAAAACAGTTAAATTTTGAGAATTTTAGTTATATACCAAATATTAACTTTATATATATATATATATATATATGTATAGAAATGCTCTCCTACCCACGGTGGGCACATGTTAATATGCCCACCGTATAGGTGGCATGCACTCATTGGTGATGTTAATATGTTTAAAAAATACATCACCAATGAGTGCATGCCACCTACGCGGTGGGCATATTAACATGTGCCCACCGTGGGTAGGTGAGCATTTCTCTATATATATCCTCCCTATATATAATTCCAGAATGCGCTGAGCCTACGTGCCTGTTTCTGGTGCTTCAGAATCTTATTTGGCGAAGAATCATGCTTCGTAATTAGGTTTGGACAAATAATATTAATATATTAATAAATAATAATCTAGGTTCAGGTATTTCATAAATATTATTTAGCTAACTTAGGTATTTTAATATCACTTTTACTAGTATAACCCTTTAATTATTTGTAATTTTACATAGTGAGACACTAAGTGACTAATATATCCCTAAATTTTGATTTGCTTCCTTCAATAAGCTATTGAATTATAAATATATTTTAAAAGTAGATAACTTTTGTATTTCTATCGGTTTTACATATATAATATATCAAATTAATCATCTTTTGATGATCTTCGATTTGACATCCATATTGTATATATAAAATAAATAAATTATATTTATCTTTATAATAATAAAAAAATAATAATATTTATTAAAATTCATTAGAAAAATAAAATTATTTCTCAATTGATATATTTATATTTATTGTAGTTATATAGTGTAAGTTAAAAAATTAGTATAATATAACACAAGTAAGTCGCACAATTAAAAAGTATCATAATAAATATATAATAAATATATTCTTATAAAAGGTATTTAAATTTTCAAACTACTTTTTCTCATTAATTTTAAATTTTAAGAAAAAAAATTAGCAAGCACCCGTGTAATCCACGGGTGTTGTACTAGTGTATATATATAATATTGAAATCCATGACATTTTGAGTGTAAGAGACTTGAATTTGATGGAATCGCCCAAAGTGATTTCTCTACTCTAAAAATTGAGCTACTTTATTGATGCAAAAAGAAAATTTTTCCCATTCATTTTTTTATTTTTTTATTTTTTATTTTTATTTTTCAAATAAGTTGGGAGAAGTAATAGCTTATATACTTAGTCAAAGGGTCAAACATTGCGCTTGCAATTTATACTTAGTAAATAAAATCGTTATTAGTGAATAGCAACTTTCTTTATAAGCTCCGATCCCTTGTATAAATAGGGAAAATAAGGTTTTGTATCTACATTTCCTTTTCCATACTTTGATTAATCAATCGGCAATTCTTCCTTTCTCTGTCGACTCTCTCTTGCACTGATGAACATCTTGTTCATCTGAAATCACATTAATGTCTTTATTAGGAAGCAAACAGTTACATTGAATTCTAGATTTTGGATGCATGAACATGTATTGGTACTAAAAGTCGGGCTAGGTACCCGCTTAGACAACACCCGAGCGTCCCAATTTTTGTCTAGACGGCCATTCTAGGCGCTCGGGCAATTAAACGCCGCCTAGGCGGTTGCAAAGTTAATCGCCCTAAACTGATTAGACAATCTAGGTGTCCGTATAATTTTTTTCTATATTTTCTTTAAAATATAATAAAAATAAATTTTTATTTCTACACATGAAATGCACCATAATTATAAAAAAAAAAAATAATAATTATATTTCAAAATCTTTGTAATTTAACTTAATATATAAAATATAATTGTAACTTATGCGTGATTTTAAATATAAATAAATAAATTATTAACAAATAAGATTTTACCGAACGCTATTCCAAAAATTAATAAAATTTGTGGAATATAAGAATGTCAAAGACTACATATCTTGCAAAGGCATGACTGTCCAACTAATAATGTCATTAGCCACTTACAAATAGCAAACTCCAGACTGGCAATTTCATTCTTGATCCTGCTCTAAAAAGTCTCACTCAGCAAGTGATTGAACTTTTATTAAATTTAATACACAGATAATACAATTCACATACTACGATCGTCACTCACAATCGATCGAACAGGGGCAAGGACGTCATCTCAATCCCGTCATCAAATCTGGTCTGCTCATCATTCACTTCGAACTCCCACTTCATCTTCAACTTCGATCCTTGACATAAACGAAGCATAGTAATCTATCTGTACAATCATGCCCACGTAAATTTTTAATCAGCGATAAATAAATCTTTAATAACGACGTGCTGGGGCCCACCAATGATTCTCTCTAACCAAGCCGAGAGATTCCAAGTCGTGCTTTCATTATTTTTAAGCTCGGCAACTCGAGTCGTGTCCCAGCTGGGGCATTGTCGTCACCGCTTGAAATTCAGTACCAGTGGTTGCCGGACCCACTCTGGGCTGCGGCAACTTTTCTCGCCATGTAAAGATCGGGCTTGGGCTGAAGCCCATTCGGGCCTTCATGCATGCCTTCATTACTATCTATCTTGCATTCCGGGTGCTTTCTTGGGTAGGACGAGCTGGGAACAATGTATTGAGATGGGATATTAGGGTTTCTCAGCGTTTTTTGCTCTTCGGCTGTTGTCTTGTCCGGTGGTGGCCCACAATTGTTGTACCGTAACATTGGGCCGATGATTTTTCCGGGCCTTGCGGAACCTCTAGCTGAGATGAAGAATCATTTATTTTTCAGTAAAACGGCCATAATATTCCTTACATTAAAAAAAAAAA